TCACGCATCAAAAACCTCTTTTGACATTTAATCCGAGTAATCAGAAGATTTCATTTTCGAAAAAAATTGGCGCACACGTGTTGGCATTTGGCAACACTTCCGGTTTTGTTATTTTTGTTCGAATCACCGTAATTAATGCATTAAAACAATTGATGAACAGCATTATGGCTAGAGCTCACATGAAATACCTCAGGATTGATTGTCTGCCACGTTTTGATCTTGGAATTTCAAAAGACTTACAATCTGAACATTTCCGGCTCTGCTGGATTCAGAAGCAGAATATTGGACCATGGAAAGGTTTCTGAAAAATTCACTCTGCGTACGTCTCGCAGATTTATTTATTTGAATTTTATGGTTTACACATTTTTTTTCATCAAGGACACGTCACCGATATATTTTCAAAGATTGCTACATATTAAGGTGGGATACGCTGTTGCTTCATGTCAAAATCGTAACCTCGTGCAGTGAATGAATGTAGAGTAACTTACCGTGAAAAATCTTCCGCCCAAATTTAAGAACTGCCACATAAAGTTTCCTACTGTGACTGCTTACTTATTAGCTTATAAAGAGTTATAGCTACCCTAGCAAAGGGGACTAGCCAAATTAGCGTATATACAGTAGAGAATAAGTCTCGTACTCAGAAGTAAATCGATTCGTGTTACAATATTTGAATATAACGTTAATTGCATGCATTCTTTAGTCGAATACCGAAAAATACCCCTTTGTATACGGGTTCTTCTGATGCAGTATTCACGTTAAGATATTTGGCTCGATGTTCTGGCATCATGGTTTTTTTTTATTATGGTCTGATGTTTTATTTGTATGTAGTTCTCATTATCTTCCTCATTTCATTCAAATGTTGCTTGATATATAAAGTGGAGTTATAGGCGCCCTGCTGAATTGTGGCCTGTTTGGCTTTTGAAGACTTTGAATTCAAAAATGTGCCTCAAAATCTGGACAATGTCCCAAGACACTATGCCAACATTTCCATAGAAATGATAGTTCACTTTTCAGCATTTTTATATCTCTTGAACACATCAAGGCATCGTATTTCTATTCACAAAAATTCAAAATACATTTTTCATAAATTTACTCTAATTCATAATTCAAAAGCAGGATAATTCTATGGTTCTCTTTTCTGGTTTTTTTATCAACTGATGTGGGCAGAGTAAAAAAATGTGTGCTTCTTTTTTAAAAAACCTGAGGAAAGATACGCTTCTTTCCGTCGTCTAAGACACACCTAGAGAAAACTTGTCATTAAAAGGTTTAGAGCTTTAATTCTTTATTAAAACGTATTTTCTAAATCCTCCTGGAAAAAGTCTTTTTGATGAAGAACCAAAGTTGTTGAATATGTTTACATAGAAGTCTAAGGGAAATGTGATCTGACATGCAAATGTTCCAACATACAGACATAATCCATTTGGGGATGAACACTGCAGTCTGTAATATCCCTACCATTTCTGTTTTCTTGGCTGTGTATTGGTCATGTTGTGACGCTGGCCTCGCGATTTCATCTTGACTTTCGACAGAGGTCTCCACACAACCAACTTTCTTAGGTAACCAACGCGAGTTATTTACAGCTTTGCTCAACTTTCAAAGCAGTGTGCCGCACAAGGTCGTCAGTGTTCACACTTTGCCAAGAAACTTTTAGCCCTCGGCCCAATCTTTGAACGGTCCCAACTGTGAATTTCGCACTTGCCCTCGAACGCGTGCGGGGAATTTTGAGGCTCACTCGAAAAATTCGGTCGTTTCGAGATGAGGGTCATATCAAGTCAAGTCCTTCAAAAAATGCCGTTTTTTGTACGCAGTTGTGTATTTTATGTCGAGCCTGGGTTTTTCAGCACATGTCAGTGTGTGTCCAAATTATCCAAAATACCAGCTTGATTATTGAACTCCATAAATAGACCGTTTTACAGTCGCGTACCTCAGCCTATACATTCTCAAGATATTACGTCGAATTCTCGAACTAAAATGATTTCCCTACGTTACGAACAAGCTTGACCGTAATACAACGACTCGTTTGCTATTCCTCGACCTCGAGTTATTGGATCCCGTTAAATTATTTAGATAATTGTTGTCTACATTTTTATGCTGTGCACACTGCATGTAGTGTGTGCAAGAGATGAACTTGTATAAATCTCAATGCAGTTGTAACTCCCCGACTAAGAACCTCCATTTGAATTTCCAGAGAATCCCTGACCAGTTCCCTCAAGTCCAATCAACTTTAAACATTTTAGGTGTGTTGGTTGAAAGAATCCATTGGTTGCGCTCAATAAATGTCGAAACGAGTTGAAAGTTTCGTCACACGGCGTGTTCCAGCAGTCACAAGTGTGAAACGGTTCTTTGAAAATCGGGAGCCGGGGATTCTTTGAACGGTCCCAACTGTGAATTTCGCACTTGCCCTCGAACGCGTGCGGGGAATTTTGAGGCTCACTCGAAAAATTCGGTCGTTTCGAGATGAGGGTCTTATCAAGTCAAGTCCTTCAAAAAATGCCGTTTTTTGTACGCAGTTGTGTATTTTATGTCGAGCCTGGGGTTTTCAGCACATGTCAGTGTGTGTCCAAATTATCCGAAATACCAGCTTGATTATTGAACTCCATAAATAGACCGTTTTACAGTCGCGTACCTCAGCCTATATATTCTCAAGATATTACGTCGAATTCTCGAACTAAAATGATTTCCCTACGTTACGAACAAGCTTGACCGTAATACAACGACTCGTTTGCTATTCCTCGACCTCGAGTTATTGGATCGCGTGAAATTATTTAGATGATTGTTTACATTTTTATGCTGTGCACACTGCACATAGTGTGTGCAAGAGATGAACTTGTATAAATCTCAATGCAGTTGTAACTCCCCGACTAAGAACCTCCATTTGAATTTCCAGAGAATCCCTGACCAGTTCCCTCAAGTCCAATCAACTTTAAACATTTGATCGTAACTCAAAACTTTCTTGAATCAGATGCCTTTTTTATTAAACTGCTCGGGCTAAATTTTGGAACATCTACTCCAAAAAAAAAAAACTGCTGCAGATTCTCTTCATTTTCTCAACGAGGGATTATTCATCTTCCTGAAGGTAGGGCATCTAAGAATAATGAACAGTTACAATAATTTCCATTGACTAACACATACACATGAAGCCAAATTCATCAATTCATAAACTCCGAGTCAAATTGTTTGAAGTCACTCAAAATTTGACTTCGAGATGAGGTACGACTGCGTGTATGCAAAGGTTCCATCTTTCTTGGGAATTGTTTGCATAAACGAGTGCATTATCTTCTATAACTTGAAAATGAATCACAGACACTGAAACTTCAAACTCTTACAGAGTATATACAGAACTTTTCTTCTAAAAAAAAAAATTAGCTGGTTGCATGCGATGATGCGAATTTAATTTCCCCCACTTTTAAACCTTGAAATCCTGTTGCGGTCAATTGGCAGGTCTTCCCCTCTTGAATTCCTGTCCATTACTTCGTAAATTGTTCTCAATTAATGCATCTTTTGTAAATAGTCGAGTACCAAGTTTGAATTGAAAGCAGTGGAGCGTCATCGCCATTTAATAGTGATTAAAAGAAGAATGTTGATTTGCCAGCTGCATGAAAGATCGGAGATTGAACAGTACATGAAGTTTCTCACTGAACTTTCTTGGTCAGCGATAGCATGAAGTAAAATAAAATTAAAAACTAGGTAGTGTGTTGCTGGATAAGGAACGGTCTGTTGAGACACACGTAACCGTGAAAGCAGAACATGCGAAATATTCAATTGCCTCTGGAACCCTAAGGTCGTTCAAGGGGTCAAGCTGTTCGGCACTCGGTTAAAAGGTTGTATAATCTCCCTTTTCTCTCCGGCGTTTCACGAAGTAACTTTTGAACTTATACTCCACACGACGCAAGCCATGATTTATTTTTCTTGCGACTCGCATAGAAGTACAGTATTATATTAATTTTCAAAGCATGAATGCTTGACAAAAATTCAAAAAAGAAATAGACATACATTACTGTACGGAACATCAAATCTGGACTTGAGCTTCAATTGAAAGCTGCGATCCCGTTTTTTTTCTCTCGTTTTTTAGGAGGTTTTAAAACTTGATGTGCTTTCTGTGAACTCGTGTCAGCTTCAATTGAACGTGTTCAACAGCTTTTCTGGATCCCTACTCACAAGGTTTACTCTACGAGTCTACGTCGCCACGGAAAGGTACGTCAGTAACGAATCTAAAATCTCCATTTCATCCAGTTTAAATTCTCTTATCCTGCTGACGATTTCATATCATGTGCCTTTTCCAGGAAAATGCCGCATTCCTCGATATTAAATATTTTGCATGATCATAAAAATGTTCTTTGATAACTGGAATACTGATTGAGCTGGATTTTTATCCCCCTGAGGTTTCTTAAATCATCTCAAATTTTAACCATGAATTCTTTGGATATTGTTATTAAATAGGTATCATTGTCAAGTTCCACTGGATCAGAATAATTTACCATTTTGAATCCAACTAGCTTGGTGGTTTAAAATAAATAAGACAGTTAAATCGAAAGCAAAACTGTTTCTTACTTCCCATCATGTGTTCCTCTTCAATCAGAGACTCCAGTAGCTTCTTCATGGGGTCTTATTCTCATAATATTCAAAAGTCTGCATATGTGGTGCATTGGGTTTTCGAAGGGCCTTTTGGGCATCAAAAATCTTTGCTTCATGACCTGTTTATAACTCTTAGAACAGTAAAATCAGCAGAATTATCATAATAACTAGAATGTAAGATTTCCCAACAACTTAAATTGTCAGAAGAATTTTCCAGATACGTTATTGACTCAGAAAGAAAATTGAAAAAGTTCGTGGCTATGTTTTGGAAATTTGCAGACCACGTTCCTTAATTCTTTCTATGAAGATTTTTTGAAGTTATGCCGGAGCTTACCTACACTGAATTGAGCTCTTGAAACAGATTGGACTTCCGGAACTCCTGTGCTGGGCATCCGTGCTTATTCCAAAATCGAAAAAAGCAGTAATTTTTTTTTCACTTCAAGATCGAACATTCGACCGTCTTTTATTAATGCTTCGTGCAAGATTCGTTTCGTTCCGAGGGGTGTTCTCGAGAAAGCGGACGCGCCAATTGTTAAACGAAAAATGTTAACGGAATGGGCGCAAGCAAAAATCAGGAAAAAGCTCGGCGTCTTCCGGTGCCACTGTGATTCTAATTGTCCCCGATTATTTGCTCGTTACGGTTGAGAAATTGGAATCATTTCGAGTTTTTTTTAATGTCCTTTAAACACAGGATTGGCAGAATCTTGTTACATCTCACTTCTCATCCCCTTGAAGCACTTTCTCGACATCTTAGTTTTTTCTCTAGCAAAAGCCACGGTCGTCCGTACGCTGTCGTGGGGCAGCTTTGAGAATATTGTCCACGCGTAAGATCATTTCTGCGGCCTCCGCTGCGGACAGGAGAACTTGTCGCTTCACTTGAAAGGATTCGGTAATGCCGATTTTCTTCATGTTCCCAATACAACCATTGATCATATCTGGCGAACAAGAATAATTGAAACGTCATCTTTCAATAGTTTCCGACGACTCTCTTTTTAGTTGAATCATCAAATCCGCTTCACAGTCGATAATTCGAACTTCCCAAAGGAAATTAAAATAACGTACCCAAACCGGCAGTGCTATCCCCGGACGCGTGGGCGGCTCTAAGTTCGGAAACTAGCTGGGCGGAATCGTAGCCAGCATTATCTGCGATGGCCACCGGCAGCTGCGTAAGAGCTCTGGCAAAAGCTTCCATCGCGACCGACTCTTTTCCTGGGGTGGTGGCTGCGGCGTTCCAAACTGCGTTTGCCATCAACATTTCACTACAACCTGAAAAAAGAACCGAAGAGTGCCGACTTCAGACGAAGAACTATGATGTCTGTGGTCAAATTGTGATTCGACTTTGAACGAATTGAACTTTCGTCTCTGGTGCACAGCTTTTCAGATGATGGTGAAAAGACAAATTGCCAGCCAGGTGCGCACAAAAGAATTCAGCAGTAAATTTGCAAGCGTGGCACGATTAATTTTCCATCAAGTGTCCGTGTTTTAAAACCAGCTGAAGTGAGCGCCGTTTACTCACTCTAGCTAGGGTTGAGTGAATGAAAGATCCATCAACAAATTTGAGCTTTTTACGTTAACCATGAAATGCAATAATAGCACTTAACATCATAGAGAAAATCGTTGTAGACTATCTACAACGATCATATAAAAATATCTTCCGCATAAAAATATTTTGAGTCCCATATATGCTCTCCACAACGAAATTCTCGTTACGACTTTTTGCTGGTTCCTTGAATTTCGTTGAACAGCGAGTCCATCTGTACTGTAGTTAGAGCCCTGCAGAATACAATAAGATTCTGCACAATATGCATTTGATAGTTGATTTGCCACGTCACGAGGTACATGACTATTGTTCAACTTAAAATGGTAAAATCTCGGGGGAAAATTCAAGAACCCTGAACTGAAATTTCTATGTACAGTACTTGCGAAACGACAAGAATCCGTCACGCTACTTGCCCGAGTTTCTCAAACAAAAATTTTGAACGTACCTCCACCATAAACGATTCTCGTTTCTTTCACAGTTTGCTGCAGTACACAAAGGGCATCGTGCAGAGAGCGTTCGGCTTCGTCAAGGATCTGCTGCGTGGCTCCACGTAGAACGATGGTGCAAGCTTCCCCCAAAGGCACTCCGGAGAACTTCAGCAATTTGTCTTCTCCAATCATGATCTGAAACAATATTACGATTTCCAATATCATGTGGAATCATTCGTGAAACAAAATAAATCATTCAAGAATTCATCATACTGGGCCTTTAGAAGTTTTTTAGACGATTTAGACCAGTGTTTCCCACCCTTTTTGGACCACCAGACCGGTTAATTTTCCTAAAATTTTCAGAGGACCAGCATATTTCCATTAAATTTTCTTCAGACTGACGGCGTGCCATAAAATTTTTGCAGACCACCAGGAAACATTTTAATACCTTCCATAAAGTCCTCCAAACAAAACTTTTATTTCAAAAATTAAGTTAAGAACCAGTGCAACAGCTATAGTGCAATGTCTTCAAAAAATTAGAAAGCTGGGCTTTAAAAATGGTTTCCCAGAAGGAAAACTGGAAATGATTTATTTCAGCAGGTGAAAATTATTCTCAAGTGTTGTTAAGGGAAAAGCCAACTTTTATTTTTATCAGATAATTTCAACTGCCATTGTCTTTCAAAACCATCAGATAACAATAACAGACTTCATTGCAACTTCTGAATCATTTACTGTACTGTATAATGCTGAAAATTTCCCACAAACATGCAAAAAACTTCTGCAGACCGGCGCTGGTCTGCAGACCACGGGTTGGGGAACACTGATTTCGAGCACTTGGCAACTGATTGTTTTTGGGGTGCAAAATATTATAGCGCAGTGGAGAAGTCTGTAAACGAAATATTTGGAGCAGTAAAATTTGTAAGGGAAAATTGGCCATCATGATTTTTTAAAATGTCGCCACAACCCAGAAGCAAGTTGAGTCGAGGTGAATTTAAAACAGATTTGCGACTGAAGTAATAGAACAATTTGTCTTCATAGTGGACAAGAAGGTTGAATTCGTCAAATAGACTAAAAAGTCATCACGACAAGTTATAATTTTGGGCACCCTATTTTATAATTTCATTTTGCTCATGTCATTGTGAATAACTGAAGAACAAAAAAATACTGGTGCCTTTCACACATTACCTCTTCAATCAAGTCGCACTTTCCAAGTTTCACCAATTCTGGATGACCAAAAGTAGACACAATTTCACCTCCTGTCACCAGCGCCAACCGCTCAATGCCATCAAAATCTGCATGTTCGATTGCCATGACTCCGGCATCGGAGAAAAGTTGCTCGGGGTAATTGTAGATCAATTGCCTGGAAGAAAAGCATTGATAAACTGATTGCATCACACGATGCAATAATGCAACTACAAACCGATTGATGAAAACGTTGATGTTGTGTTTCAAAATCAATGCAACCTTGTCTTTCATCTTTTCCTTCTCAGCTAATTCCAAATCGGCGACCTTTGCGACTGAATCGACGCGGACCTACGACGCAATTTAAGATTTTAAAAATGACCTCGCATGGCACTCAATTTATAATTTACCTGAGATCCGAAAACTTTGATTTTGTCAGTATCCATCGGGGTGTTCGCGATCAAGATTGTCGCGTTTTCAATTCGCTTCGGTTGATTAACGCCGGGCCTCTTGTCAAGAAGGAAACCTGTCGAAGAAAAAAATTTATCTAAGGATTGCTGAACTGGATGCGAACATTCAAGTCACTCATCATCTGATACAACCTCCCCTTTGAATAAATTTTGTAAAATAATTGAAATCACGCGTTCGAACTACTTCACTTATGCAACACCCATTCCACGCCAGAAGAAAAACCGAATCAATCGCGTAAGCACTTTCTTACTTACTTAATGCAATTCACAAAATCCGGAATAAATTCCGCTTGAAACGCGCACTTCAATTCTCACGCAAGTAAGATTTTCCAGAAAATTCTGGGTGGATTCTGGTAAGCTTCGGCTTATTACTATGAAGCCCCTTTTACTTGAGGCAGAGCTGAAGATTTTCTAAACTTTCAACTAGCTTAAATTTCGAACACGAAAAATTTTTCTTCTTGCGTGAATTCCAGAACACATTGAAATACACTTTCATACTTCGAACAGTTCGAAGACCATGGAACACGACTCCACAGATCACCATAATTCAAGTCTAAAATCTTCAACTAAGGGGTAAAGTATTTCGATTCAGCAGAACGAACGAACCTTCGTCAAGAAATGAATCGGCGAGGGAAGCCCCGGTCTTCTTGATGATTTGAATCGCATCCAAGTTGCCAGAGCCTCTAAGCCGCATCACTGAATCGACAGCCAATTTCGAAAATTTCTCCTTATGTTGCGATAAAATTTTTGAGCCCAACGTCGTGCGAGCAATATTCATGAGATCTTCGTGAAACTTCACATCATCCGCCCTAAAAACAAAGAAAGGCAAATAGTTCAGACTTCAGTTTTGAATTTACCGGAATTCGTAACAAACCCGTTGTCTTCAGCTGCATTTCGCAAAGCTTCACGGGCAACATCTGTCGCCTTTCTCCAGCCAGCTATGATGGTTTGTGGATGAAGTTTCAGCGAAACTAATTTTTCGGCTTCACGCAACAATTCGGCGGCTGAAAGCGAAGAAAGCACGATGTTGAGAACCACCAACAATAAGTCCGATGCCAAGATCATTCTCACCGAAAACGGTGACCGAGGTTGTTCCATCGCCGACTTCATCATCTTGCACTTTTGACATGTTGACCAGAACCTTTGCGGCAGGGTTGTCCACTCCAACATTTTTAAGAATAGTGGCCCCATCGTTCGTGACTTCAATGTTGCCTGGGAAAAGTTTTCAATATGATTATTCCGCATAAGGTACAGCACTTCTCATTTTGATGCCTGATCTCCCTGTCTCCATGATCTACTACACAGGTACTGCCTGAAATTTGCAAGAACATTTTTTTGTTGTTTAAAGTTGAGTTGGGATATGTGAGATCAGGTTCGTCTGAATTGGCAAGGGTTGACAGTTAGAATGAGTAGCATACGTGCAAGTCTCAAATGAGCACGTATAAAAAGAGCAAGTGTACAAAAGACGAAGTTTCAAATTTTTGGTCTAGTTAAGAAAAAAAAAATTACATCCGATCTTCCCGGTACATAAAGTTTTGCTTAGTTGTCTAACCTTGATTAAAGAGGAACCAGACATTTCGAAAACAAATCGCACAACTGAAAATCGGAAATCACTCACCTTCACTGCGTCCATGGGATACCAAGATTTTATCCATCCCTTTGGGCCCGAGGGTCGATTTGACTAAATCCCCGATGGCGATGGCACCAACGAAGCTCGATAAACGAGCGACCTCAGCCTTCTCGTCATCGGCTCCATAATTCAACACTTGCACAGGGTTCAGGGACATTACAATTTACCAATCTGAATGCTCTATTGAAAAACACGTTCAAAAGTAAAGCAGTTACTGGCGCGCACGTTACAGGTCTGCAAAGAAAAAAAATTGTTTTCAGAAAAGTTCCTCGCTATTTTTCGAGAAGACATTGGCATAATACGCAAACTTTACGGACACCGCAACATTTCAAGGTCCAATCCCAAGAAAATGAAGAAAATATTCAGAAATCCACAGGGAAAAGCCAGCGCTTTCCTTTATCACGACAAAGTTCTTCAATCCCCGGCCCTCAAACACTGCAAGATTCCAGAAAGAAAGTCAAAGAATTTCGGTGATCATCCCAGCAGCAATCGTAGCTCCGCTACAACGCAAGGTAAAGCGACCGAGTTCTTTAACATCTTTGTATAACTCGATGCAAATCGGGCGTGCAACTTCCAAAACAACGAGCGCACTAGAATTTTTTAGCAAACAGCGGGGTTTGTTTTTCAAGATCTCTCCGGTTGATCTATGAACGGAAGCGATCAATTTCACCACCATAGCTTGCTCACTCATCGAGTTCTGATGGAAGATCACAGGAAATCCGCGCGTGATCGGTATTTCGATTCCGAACACCACCAGACGTGCGACAAATCTCGTCGCAACAGGAACAGGACATTGAGGTTCACAGAGAACTGATCCCAAGGACACATTTTGAGCTTCTATTCCGGCCAATGAGGCCACCACTTGGTCACCCGCAAAAGCTGTCATTCCGCTTGACGCATTTTCGCAAGCCACGGCTTTTAGAATGCATTGCTCAGCTTGAGGCATTATCAGAAGGCGCTCACCCGCTTGAACAAACCCACATTCGACTTTCCCGCTGACATTGACAAGGGACGAGACTCCCTTGAACACATCCGTGACTGACAATCTCAAAGGTTTCGAAACGGGCCTCTCTGGAGGTCTGAATTTTTCGATGACATCCACTAAACACGGGCCTGAGTACCAAGATTTCAATGCATCGTTCGTCGGTGGTGATATTAGATTCTCTCCGGTCAGACCGGAACATGGAATATAAACGACGTCAGCATCTCTCAATCCAACATGCTTCGTAAGAAAAGCGGAGATTTTATGCGAAATCTCTTCGAACCGTTGTTTGGACCACCCCTCATTATCCAGCTTGTTTACCACCACACCCATCTGCAATACACCTAAAGACCTCGCAAGCAAGGCATGCTCTCGCGTTTGGCCGCCGCTTTCGAACCCTGTTTCGAACTCTCCTCTCGTCGCATCTACTACAAGTAGAGCAACATCCGCTTGCGATGCACCAGTTATCATGTTTGGTATAAAATCCTTGTGTCCAGGAGCGTCCAACAAAGTTACACTTTTGGTTTTCGTCTCGAACTTCGAAAGGCCAACATCCATGGTAATCCCTCGGGTGCGTTCTTCACCAGTTTCGTCCAAAACCCATGCAAATGCGAACGACTGCTTCCCAACCTTCTTGCTTTCTTGCTCGTACTTGTGCATAGTCTTCTGATTCACTTGTCCCATCTATCATCCGCGGAAATTCATGCCATGTTATAGTTGGTATCATCGAAGACTCATAACTTTCACTAATGGCGACATGGGCAAGATAAAATATGTTATTCCTTTTATAATGCAGTACTGTACTGGGCATTGTAAGTCGATATTCGTAGCTGTTGGACAGTTTGCGTTCAAAATGAACACGTGATTGTTCATTTCATCATTGAATTCAAAGTAATTCATACGCGCGAAGATTTATTTTATTTTACTCAATAAATTTTGTTGTGAACATGAGAATCTAATATGCGAGTAGCAAAAGAGACAACACTTTTAAACGATAAATCAACCAGTCACAGTTGTATATTTTCTTATTTCGTTTATGTACTTCTACTAGAAAATGTTCTTCGCTGGGCATTTATTTTTTTCAGCACTGTACCTTGAACAAGAGATGTCCCATCAAAGTTGACTTCCCCGCATCCACGTGTCCTATTACTACCATATTCAGGCACTGCTTTTGACTGGATTTGCGTTCCTTTTCGTATTCCGCAACGGGGTCCAATTTGGCCTTATGTGATTCACGAGGCGATGGTTTCGACAAGGATGGACTCGGGGAAATGATCATTCTAGGCGTAGAGCAAGAAGAACCAGATTTCGAACTCGACGCAGTTCGAGACGTTGATGGAGCAAGTTTGTCTAGAACCTTGGGCCTTGCTGACTTATCTTCACGACAAATAGTTTCCAATTTCGCTTTCAGGTCATCCAAGGAAGCATCACTACCTTCTCGAACTATGTCAATAGACGGTCCTTCTGTATTTCGCGGCTTATCGTGAAGAATTTGGAGAGCGATATTTGAATCATAGTTAGCCTCAATAGCGGCGTTAAGAAGAAAAGGTTCGGGAATTGATTCGCCAGAAATGTCCCTCAATACTTCGAGACATTCCTTCAGACGAGCTTCCGATGTGGGGCTCAAGTTTGATGGAAATTCGACATGCACGGAATCCAATCGACGCCTCGACATAGCCTTATCTTTCCCATCACTATCATCATCATCATCATCTTCCTCATCTGGGTTAGTTCCAACTATGTAGTCACCCATAGCCGTCGATTTCGAACGGTCGAACATGTACTGCTGCTCAAATCCAGGCGAAGCGCAAAAATTTGCGCTATCCTCCACGGAGTGTCCATACGCATCGCAGTAATAGTCGTCGTACTCTTCGTCATAATTCAGTCCGCGAACTGATCGGTGACGCGACATAGCAGCTATTTCGTTAGCAGTCCTTCCCGTAAAATCTATGAAAAAGGAAATTTTGAAGATTCGCTCTTCCAATGATAATCATATCAAGTACCTCAACCATGAAGCAGTTTGGTGGCTTACAGCAGGCAGAATCAAAGCAGCGGAGAAACATAACTCTTCAGCACCGATCACCTGTGAAATCAAGCTTACCTGCAATCAGCCGTTCTTTCGCGTTTTCAAAAATCGTCGAAAAGACGCAAATGAATGATACTCAGCCATATTAAGACAAATAATCAGGTTAAATCCACCACTTAGTTAACACCGAATGTGAAGAAATTTCAGCGCCTGCCCGGAAGGAACAACCAACCCAGTGCGCGGCACCATGACACTTACGACATCTACGGCCGATGGAATGAATGAGTATCCTGAGGACATTTTCAGCATTACCGAATGGCTAAATTATGGCAACCTTGAACGTCATCGGCCCAGGTCTGCATTCAAGGCAAACGCGAAAGACTGGAATTTCCACCGCTGTTTCCGGTAGGAAGATTGATTGTTTCGCCAAAAAGCTTTTCATTGCGTGGTTCATTTATAGAGGGCGGCAGATTGGAATCGCCCCCCCCCCCCGCCGTACGGAAGTAGGGCGATTTGCGCTTCTATATACAGTACTGTACGGCACTGTATGTACAGTACACAGTACAGTGGCCCCCCGCCTAACAGACCTCCCGTGTAAGGGATTTTCGCCTAACAGACCAGCTCTGCAAGCAGTTTTTCCTCCCGCCCAACAGACAAAATCCGCCAAACAGACTTCTTTTGGTTTAAAATTAGTGTTGAAAATTGAAATTTTTAATTTTTTATGTAATTGAATTCGTGTAAAGGACTTTTCGTCTAACAGACTTGTCCCTTGCACGAATCAAGTCTGTTAGACGGGGGTTGACTGTACTGTATTCAGGGTTTCTTGCAGCGCAACGTTCATTACATGCAGCACAGCAATATCAGTACAGCATACCGCCGGGACGTAATTGTCAACAAACTTTCTGCATTCAATCCGTGAAGAATATATAGATACAGTACTGTATTTCTCATTTACCCTTCAGATAGCCTGAAAACTTCATTGGAATTTTGCAACCATTGAATGAATAATGCGGAAAAGCCTGTTTAGATCTGAACGGAAGTTTGGATCATTTACTCATTCCCCTCGAATACGGTGCGATGATCTTAGTCTGCAATCTTGTTCTCGGGCATCATTACAATGCTTCGACTTATTGTTTCGATCCGCCACAGGACAGAATTTCGAATTTCGTATGGATGCTCATAATTATTTCAAATTTTACAGTTCATGCAGAATTTAAAAAATATTTTAATGGTTTTCAAGTTGCCTATAATGGATGATGAACTCCCATGTCTAATGAATCTTACGATTTCAGAATGCAGCGCGACTAACAGGTGCAGTATCCCACAAAGATGGTGCTCAAAAACCACAGAAGCCCCCAGATACTTCATGAAAGTTTGAACGGCAATAATAGTAGTGAATATCGTGGCTGGACTTCTCGCAGTCATCCCTCGCATAAGAGAGTTAAAAACTATGACTTCAATTCGGTATACAGTATAAATACTGTATCATCATTTTGCTGAACTGCTGCGAGAAACTTCAGATAGATGAAGCTCTAAGCAGACGAGGCTTCTCATCGTCCACCCCACAGTATACAGTACACATGAATTGAAGTTGCGGAGATTGCTGCATCACGTGACTATACGTGAGTCACGGCGGTTGACCGCATGAATTGTCCGAGTCAGTACAGTACCCCAAGTGAGTGTTCATGATGTTTTGTGGTCAATCCTCGAGTGTATCGGCAATAGTTTCTCAATTCTTGCTCAATGTGAAGAATAACATACTTCATCACTTATCATGGATGAAGTAGGGTACAGTATACATATACAGTAGATGATATTGCAGGAAATACGGAAACTGCTGTGCGTGGAGAACTTTTCCTGAGTGAAGACAACCCTTATCACCCAGGAAGGGCTTTCTTCAGGTATTTAGAAACGATTTCGAATCGGAGTGAGATTTCGACGTAAAAGTCCCCGAATATCGGAATATTGAAATACGCAGAGCGATCAAAGCGGAACAAAATATTGTATTTCAATGCTCAAGCTTATTCTCTCACGCATTACCGTCTTATATTCACTCTAGACGGTTTTCATATTCAACGGCGAACAATAACTATCCGTCTTTGTTCCCTCCCATGGCGCACATCTTCTCCAGCTCAGACCTCTGAACACATCGCGTGTAAAACAAAACAAAAAACCTTACATTGTGTTGAGTGCACAACCCCTTCAAAAAGTGTTCTGACAAGATTTCATCCAACGTATTCAGTACAAAGACCAAACACTTCGCGCCCAACAACAAAAAAGTTGCAACATCAAATCAAACGTATGTACAATTCTCTAATATACACACCAGAACAGAAAAAATATATATTCGAACGCAAAATGCGCCAACACATCAACAAACGACGAACACGGGACACATTGTCAAACAAACGTCGCGTATTGTACAAGGGGTAATATTGCACGTATTCGGCACTTGAGGGAAAAAGTCGGAAATCGACGACACCAACAGCAACGACAATTCCTTCCTTCATTCCCGAATAAAACGATTGAAACAAAAAACAATCCATACAAAGAATACCGCATTTAACCAATACGTAAAACGCACTTCCATGGAATTCAATTTATTCAGAATCAAGAGGCATCTGTTGATTTCACTCATGTTTCAGCCAGCAGCTCGTCAGTCTCATGAAGAACTTATTCAAACATAAATCACGTACGACTCCAACTCATTATGTGATACTGTACTACCTAGAATCGATGAGACCCCAGACAAACCTGATGATATTCAAAAGATGACTGCGTTGGGAAGAACCGCGCTTGTTAATCTTGAGACGCCAACAAATAAAAGATGACATCATCAAAGGCGCATTGAAAATGAGAGGAACCCCAATTTTTCATAAGCAATCTTTGCAGACAAGTGATTCTCAAATTTTGGTTTCTGATTTCATTTTTATTCAAAATATTGTGTTTTTACGAAGCTTCCGACAGTTCAATAACTCGGTATTATACCACCCGCATTAAGACGTCATCGAATACAATAAGAATCAAATTTACTATGCACTGGAAAGAGTATGTCTGTCACTAAACAGGTAGCTATATCCGAAATTCAACCTTTAAATTGAGGACGCTCCGATTCGAAAAAAAAACCTTCAATAGAAAGGCGTTTTACAATTGAATATATATGGTTGATCCACTTGGGGCCGATTTGGATTTTCTCGCTTCGACCTGCTTCCCATGTAGGCCACAGCCTTCGGAGCACCCCAATTTTGTTTCACCGCTCCACAGAGGAAAATTGACAAATGTAAAAAGAGCAAGAGTCCTTCATTCTCCCAATCACGCTTCCGTTTCATTCATTCTTCCTTTCTTTCGTAATGCCCCACGGAATTGATCAGATGCAATAGAAGGAGGTCTTCATTGCGGATATGTTGCCTCTTCGAAAGTTCATCTCCACAGGCGCCGCTCAAACTAGACCGAGCCGCCCATTCGGAACACAGAACGGTGAGTGAACGCCACAGGGCCTCTCATTTGCCGCCCTCATCATCGTCATCAATTGCCCTCCTCATCAGGAGCGTCATCGTCGTCGTCATTGACACTGTCGACCGACATTATTTTTTTTCCACACTCCACTATAGGTATCCTGGAGGCATTGAGGAAAAAGCGACTCGTCAATAAGAGACAACTTCCAGTTTAAAAAACTGGAATTATAGGGATTGCATCTGTTCTACACTGCATGTTTTCTCATATCACGTGATGAAGCCGAAAAGAAAAAAAAAAACCGCTATAGTATATACGAGTTTTTTCGGCGATGAAAACAAGGAAATTAAATTGAATATCCTCCAGACCAAGGTTTCAAGAGTACACGAAAAATAATTTTAAACTTGCTATTATATAATCAAAAAGCAAAATATCTTTATTCAAGTTGAGGCTACGCGCATGGCTTCCGCATAATCTACCCATTATAATCAAACTGCATTCAAGGTGGAAGTTCAAAGTTATGCTTAAAATATGTTCATCAAGAAATTAAGATTATTTCTGCATTCAAGCTAGTGTATTATACATACTGTATAGTTTCAAGGTTTGGTTAGTTATTCATTCCGTTTCTTTTGTGAATTGTTGTTTTGAGATATATTGCAGTAAGCTTTTAGAGTTCAGTATTTTGGGGCCATGCAAATATAATTTCTAAAAAACGTAGATCAGATTCATAAGGTTTCTTCTCGAAAATTTCCGTAAGATCAGGAGTTCTTCATTGAAGTACGGTAATTTGGTTTAATGAGGGATTCGTTTTGTAATATTGGATAATTTGGTCCTAATCTGTACACAAATAGCTTCAGAAGTACACTACAGTACAGTACTCAAAAATGGAATGGACCAGCTTCCATGGAAGATTAAAGGAAAACATTTCACGGCCCATGATTTCCTGGCAAATACCCGATGTACTTGTCGGGATATTCAATGCACCGTAGTATAGATGAACGAATACAGATATACTGTACAGTGAAATTAAAAATTCTTCAAGAAACATAACTTGAGGATGATCCGACTTATCACCACTATCACGATTACAGCTAAAACCAAAAGCGCATTACCGTGAATAATCCGTCAATAAGAGGGAAACGAACCAACTCAAGATTAAATAGGAAAAAAATTTTCAGCTTAGTTTCCTTTAAAATCGAATTGACTGGAAATTAGGACACAAATAATTAAAGTCTGCTTAATCCGATCTCCACAGAAAATCGGAGTTCGAGGGCCTTTCCGGAAATGAAGCCATTACGAGGATATTCGCTGAAAGACGATACATGGTCCAAACTCAACAAGACGTCCATCCCCAAATTATATACAGTATTACATGCAAGGTAATAACAAAAATAAAATCAGATATGACCCCAAAGCTTGCGGAGAATCGAATCATAAATATTCACGGATAATTCCTTATTATTCCTGTTCATCAAATATGGACATGAAACCTTCGTGCGATCAGCCGTGACAATTGCGGTGTCGATGCGATTGAAACCCCAATCTTTATTCTCTAAATAAATCTTTTCCTAGTCTTCTGAAACCTTGGTGTAGCTGGAAATGATATCAACCAC